TAGGAGCACAGAGATGAAACTGGTTCCATTTCCAAGCTCATTTGTTATTCCACACTAGCTTTTATTTTATTTTACTTTATTGTTTTATTTTATATAATCTCTACACCCACTGTGGGGCTTAGCTGGACATCAATTGGGTGACAAGACTTTTCTGTCAAAGAGCTGGGGCACAGGGCCAGGCTCCAGTCAGAGCTGGGAAAATGGTACAACAGAGATGGAGTGAGAAGGGTTTAGACCCAATAGCAGTGAAGCTGTTCAAAAATCATGCCTGGGCCTCAGAATCACTAGTCTGAATGGGACAAAACCCTATGGGACAAGATTTGTGTGGAAAGAGTCTCATCTGTGGTGTTGACTCCAAGAAGCTCAGAAAGTTGAGGCAAGGGTGTGTGGGGGTGGGGTGGATCAAATCCTGCTGAAGTGTTTCATAGATACACACAAAACTTCTGCATAGATAGTGCAAACTGATGATTTCTCTCAGTAGTGCCTAAAATTCCCAGTGTTACATGTTCACTCACTCGTCCATCTCTTCATTTATTCATTAATTCATTCATCCATTCACTGATTTATAAACTGGAGAAAATTGTATTTGCCAGAACCCTTAGGGAGAAGTAGTGTATGTGGTTAGGAGGACTATTCTGATAAGCTGCTTGAGGTGTAAGGGTATAAGGAGTAAGACACCCAAAAAACATGCTCAACAAAAGGAGATGGAGATTTATACGCTCCCCAAGGGTGGTGGGGGTAGTAAGTACAGATTTTGTTTTGCTGAGTAAGGTTGTGCAAGTCTGGCCAGAGCTGAATTGCTGAGGATATGGAGAAAATGAGCCCTGCCAGGAACATAACTGTTATCCTCGATTTCTCATCTCTTTGGCTCTAATCCAATACCATGCCCTACAACTCATCTCTTAAATCCCTCTTGAATCTGTTTCTACTCCATTCTCATTGCTACCGTTCTTGTTCAAATCCTGATTGGAATTCACTTGAACCACTGCAAAGATCTTCTAAGTAGCTTACTTCCTCCCCTCTTTTCCTCCAGTCCATTCTCCACATCAAGCCAGAGTGATCTTTCTAAATAAAGTTCAGATCTAATTATGATAATTCCCTGCCTCAAAATCTTTTATTTTAAAAGATAAAGTCCCATAGTGGTTCAGTTGGCTGAGTATCTGACTCTTGATCTCAACTCAGGTCTTGATCTCAAGGTCATGAGTTTGAGCCTCACATTGGGCTCTGCACTGGACATGCAACCTGAAAGAAAAAAAAAAGAGGTAAAGTCCAAATCCCATAGTACAACATTTAACACCCTCTCTAGCTTCAGCACCAACCAATTTTCTATTTCCTACCATTCCTTAAGTTCTTTTGGAGTACTCAATGGCAAAAACTCTTCCTTCTGCCAAAATACTTCTCCTTTGCTTCTCTGCTTAGAAAATTTTCCTTTAGAAAAGTCCTTGTTGTCCTCCTACTGTTGTCAAATAAGCACATCTTTCGGGGCAATGCTTCTGGATTTGGTACAGATTCCATTAGTGGGAGCTTCATTGTCTACCACATTTATGATTCTCCTCCTGGGCATATTATGAGATTGCATTTTCTTGGATGTGAGTGTGTGTAACTTGCTTTAGCTAGTGAAATGAGAGAAGTGGAAGTTTTAAGAGCCAACACATGACTCACACACTTTTTCTCTCTGGTTGTTGCCGTGTCAGTCTTTATCTTGGAATAAGAAAGACAAAAAGCAGAGCATCTGGCCAACCCTTAGTGGATATGTAGCAATAGTAAAAAATAAAACCTTGTTTAAGCTGCTGAGATTTGAGGATTGCTTTGTTATTGAATAACTCAGTATTTCCTAACTGACAACACTCTCTCTGCTTTGACATCTTCTATAATTACCAAAACCACATATTTCTATCTTACCTGACTTGTGTGACACGTTTTCTTTATACTGATTATCTGGAACTAATGGAACTAGTGACATATTGCCACATACTGCTAATTATCAGTCTACTGGTATGTCTTAGTACCTCTGCACTTTTACTGAGGATCCTTGAGGGCAGGGATTGTGCTTGGTTCATTTTTATATCACACAAAACATGGTTCATGGCTAACGTATAAATTGTCATGAGTGTAGGAGCCAGACTTACTTTGAATTGCAATTCTGACACTTAGTGACCATCTCTCTGAGCCTCAATTTCCTCACCTGGAGTAAAATGGAGTAACCATATATGCCCTACAGGTTTTTTCTGAAGTGTGTGCATAACAAGTGCAACATATGTACAAATAATGGCATGGTGTAGTTATCATTGTTCCCTTATTTGTTTTTATTATCATTATAGATTGTGTTCAAGAAATACTTGTGCATACGTCTTTCATTGGTTGAGGTTTAGTGGTATATGCATTGGACTTGGAATCAGAAGTCCTAGATTTAAAGCATAGCTTTTGTCACCAGTTTTGTGACCTTGGGAAAGTCACTTACCCTGGCTGCACTTTTGCATTCTCAACTATAAAATGCAAATGCTAATAATACTGATTATCACTGGGTTTTCATAAAATTTAAATAAGTTAATACATGAGGAAATGTTTTATACATGCTCAAGTATCATCATTCTAAAATTGTAACAAAACAGAGAAGATGGGCTGGTCCCTCACCTAAGGACTGTATGGACATTTGTGAAGCATCCCAATGTGTTCCAATAACACTTAGCTGTTGGTCTTGTTTTTGCTTGTTTTGTTTACAGTCTTTCCAACTAGACTGTGATCTGCTTAAAATAAAGAATTGTGTTGGTTACTTTTCTGTTTGTTTGTTTCAAGTTTTTATTTGAAGTCCAGTTAACATAATAATGTAATATTAGTTTCAGGAGTAGAATTTAAGAGATTCATCACTTCCATGCAACACCCAGTGCTCCCCACAAGTGTCTCCCTTTATACCCATCGCCCATCTAGCCTATCCGCTGCCAGCAACCCTCAATGTGTTCTCAAGAGTTAAGAGTTTGTTTTACAGTTTGCTTCTTTTTCTCTCAATCTCTTTTCTTATGCCTATTTTATTATTTTTTTCTTTTTTAAAATTTAAATTCGATTTCCCAACATATAGTATACCATCCAGTGCTCATCCCATCAAGTGCCCTCCTTAGTGCCCGTCACCTACTTACCCCATCTCCCACCCGCCTCTCCCCATCTCCTCCCCCTCCTCCCCTTCCACAGTCCTTTGTTTGTTTCCCAGAGTTAGGATCTCTCATGATTTGTCTTCCTCTCTAATTTTTCCCACTCAGTTTCCCTCCTTTCCCTTATGGTCCCTTTCACTATTTCTTATATTCCACATATGAGTGAAACCATATGGTGATTGTCCTTCTCCAACTGACTTACTTCACTCAGCATTATACCTTCCAGTTCCATCCACGTCGAAGCAAATGGTGGGTGTTCATCCTCTCTGATGGCTTTTAGTGATATTCCACTGTATACATAGACCACATCTTCTCTATCCATTCATCTGTCCGTGGACACTGAGGCTTCTACAGTTTGGCTATTGTGGACATTGCTGCTGTGAACATTGGGGTGCAGGTGCCCCGACGTTTCACTACATCTGTATCTTTGGGATAAATATGCAGTGGTGCAATTGCTGGGTCATAGGGTATCTCTATTTTTAACTTCTTGAAGAACCTCCACACTGTTCTTCAGAGTGACTACACCATCTTATGTTCCCACCATGTGTTGGTTACTTTTTAAGCAAAATATTTATTTCTCCTTATATAAGAGCAATATGTGCTTATTTTAGAGAAAATAAAAATGCAAGAAAAAAATTAAAATCCCTGTAATTCTTAACCCTTATACAGAGATAGTCACTATTAATCTTTTGATGTGCTTCTTTCCAGTTTTCTTCTCTGAATTTATAGTTACAAAACTGATATTATATCACATATACAAGCATGTCCCATGTCCCAGCAAATATTTTTGTACATAGGTCTGATTTTCTAATTTTGTAGCAAAAATTTTGAGGAGGAAAATTTCTGGGTCAAGAGTGCAAATATTTTTAAATGTCTTGAGACTTTGAAATTGATTTTTCAGAAAGACTTAACCAAGTTTCCACAAGCAAGGTGTGAGGTTGCACATCACACATTACATTACAATCTATAATGGGAATTATAATTAAATAGTTAAAATCTTTTTACATAATAATTATTCATTTGCCTTTTTTCCTGTGAATCGTTTGTTCCTCTTGCTCATTTTTCTGTTGGAATTTCAATTATTTTCTTTCTTTCCTTTTTTTTTCTTAAGTTAACTCTGCCCCCCTCAACATGGGACTTGAACTCATAACCCCAAGATCAAGAGTCATCTGCTCTAGTGACTGAGCCAGCCAGGTGCCCCTCAGTTATTTTCTTATTAATTTTTATGAAGTTTTCTTTATTTTTAAAAAAGATTTTTATTTATTTACTTGAGAGAGAGCAAGAGAGCATGGGGGGAGGGAGGAGCAGCAGAAGAAGAGAAGCAGGCTTCCTAATGAACAGGGAGTCTGACCTGGGGCTTGATCACAGGACCCAGGCAAGGATCATGACCTGAGCTGAAGGCAGATGCTTAGTCAACTGAGGCAACTAAGGTACCTCAATTTTTATGAGTTTCTTTTTTTAAGATTTTATTTATTTATTCATGAGAGACACACACAGAGAGAGGCAGAGACACAGCCCGATGTGGATTTTTATGAGTTTCTTTTTTTTAAGATTTTATTTATTTATTCATGAGAGACACACACAGAGAGAGGCAGAGACACAGCCCGATGTGGAACTCAATCCCAGGACCCTGGGATCACGCCCTGAGCCCAAGGCAGATGCTCACCACTGGGCCGCTCAAGTGCCCCCTTTATGAGGTTTTAAAAACCATTTTATTCCACTTACCAAGTACAGTACAAGACACATAATAGGTGATCCTTAAATACACCTTGGGTTAGTTGTTAATTAGTCTAAGGATTTCTTGGAACAAAAGCAGACTTTCTAGGAAGCTAACTCTTTCCTTTTCCCACCCAGGACACAGCTGGACAAGAGCGGTACCGGACCATCACCACAGCCTATTACCGTGGGGCCATGGGCTTCATTCTGATGTATGACATTACCAATGAGGATTCCTTCAATGCTGTCCAAGATTGGTATGAGATTCATTCACCTTGTTCATTCATTCTTCATCAAACTGTCTAGGAAAACCTGCTGTGTGAGTGAATCCACATACAACTTCCCCATGAAGTTTATCCCTAGGATGGGGTTCAAGAGCACATTTATTCAGGACACCTAGGTGGCTAAGTGGTTGAGCGTCTCCCTTTGGCTCAGGTCATGATCCCAGAGTCTCGGGATTGAGTCCCACATCGGGCTCCCCAGGGGGAGCCTGCTTCTCCCTCTGCCTGTGTCTCTGCCTCTGTCTCTGTATCTCTCATGAATAAATAAATAAAATCTTTTTTTTAATATTTTATTTATTTACTCATGAGAGACAGAGGAAGAGAGAGGGGGTGGTGGGGCAGAGACATCAGCAAAGGGAGAAGCAGGCTCCATGCAGGGAGCCCGACGTGGGACTGGATCCCGGGACTCCAGGATCACACCCTGGGCTGAAGGCAGGCGCCAAACCACTCAACCACCCAGGCTGCCCTAAAATCTTTTTTTTTTAAAGCACATCCATTCAACGTTTGTAAAGATCCACTATACAATGGAACTAAGCACAGCTCCTGAGGCACAACCTCTGAGTAACTTACATCTTTCTTCCGGGAGCATAACTCACAGGGAGAAGGGAGCATGAGGGGGAGGATAGGTAAGAGGAACAGTCCGGGATTCTTGCCCCTAATCAGTGAAAAGGATGAGGATGGGAAAAGGTGGAGCATCTGTTGCCATGGGTCTTCTTCCGGAGCCAGAGAGGCTGAGCAGACCCGGGGTGCTGCAGCAGTGCTGGCCAGCGCCAAGCTGATCTGCTCCCCTTTGCACAATAGTCACCCTTTGAGGACTTCCCTTCTCTGACAGAACAGATGCTGCAGTATGTGAAGTACTGTTGGGGCCTTGTAGCCTTGAGCTGAGGGTGACTTTGCAGACTGTCCCGGGTGCCAACCATACGTCTATCATTCGTTCTCCTTCTCAGCCTGCCGGTCATTCTCCCCTCCCTCCTTTCTCTCTCTCTTCCCTTTTAACAAGTACTATCTTCCTTTTTCTTTTTTCCTTGCTCTCTTTTCTTGTTTCTCCCTTTTTTCTCTTCCCTTTTCTCTTCCTTTTCCCCTTTCTTATTTCCTCTCTTCTCTTCAATCATGCTCTGTCTCCCTCCTCCTCCTTCACTCCCTCTCCATCTTTCCCCCCACCTCCTACCATGGAGTGAGAAGCTCTTTCTTTAAGTGTCTCCACACTGCTCATTCTCTGTTGGCCTTGACTTTCTTCCCTTTCAACAAATCAGTCCCTGTTCATTCTGTCTCAGGAACACAGTGATTTTAACACCTGGTGACGATTCCTCCAAGAATAACCTGAGTTGCTAATCTGGAAGCTGAGAGTGGATGGGGGTGGGAGGAAGGAGGAAGATGACAGGAAGAGGACACATGGAGAGTTGGCTCTAGTTCCCTGAAGATTGAGTGTCTATGCTTCCAAGCCCTAGCCTTTCAGTTTTGCCTCTGAGCGACTTGGTCCTAGACTAGCCTCCACCCACCACCTGAGCCCCAGTGCTCAGCACCTGGCAGCCCACAGCAAATGTGGCTGAGTGAATTACGTAGCTTGAGGCAATGGCTTCTCACACTTAAAGAGAAAATTAGTGGTGGGTTCAGCTTTAGGAGCAGAGTTGGTAATCCGTCCAGGTTGTATTTAGGGTTGCATTAAATTGAGTGTCAGTGTCAGGATAGGGTCACATTTAAGATCTGCTAGGGTCACAGGATTAATCATTTGCTGGCCTATTCATTCATCAGACATTTGTGGACACCTTCTCTGCTCTGTGCTCTGTGCTGGGGACAGGCACTCCAAAGATAAATGAGACTATCCCTGCCTTCAAGGAGAGACTTATAAATTCAGCCAAATGTAACAGGTGCTGCAGTAAAGGTGTAGGGAACCAAAAGGAGAAATAATCATTTCTATCTGTTGGAGTGGTTAGAGACAGAGTTAGGCCCATCCCCACAAAGAGATATATCCACGATATAAGGGTCCTGTTTTATTCCTTATGTTAAAAATTTTGTTTCTCATTATATAAGTAGCATATGTTCAGTTTTAAAACTTGAAAAATACAGCAAAGCATTTTTTTCAAGGATTTTTATTTATTTATTTGACGGGATGAGGAGAGCAGAGAGAGAGAGGGGCAAGCAGACTCTGATTCTGTGACCTGAGATCATGACCTGAGCCGAAATCAAGAGTGAGTCACCTAATCAGCTGAGCCACCCCAGAGCTCCTACAGAAAAGTATTTTTTAAAAGTTTCATAACCCATCCTATATAAAGGAAATCACTGCTGATATTTTAGTTTCTACAGATAATCATCTGAGACCTTAATGAATGTTTATAAGTCATGGAAGAGGAAGGAGAGACTAGCTGGGCCTGAGAAAGCCTGAGAAGGCTTCCCCCAAGGAATTATGGGATCAGCTCTGGGAATGAGTTAGTGCGGGGAAGGGACTCCCAGTATAGGCAGAGGCACAAGCCATGGAAGAGCATTGCAGCATGGGTGGGAAGTGGGAGGAAGTATGATGAAGCTGCAGAGATAGGATGTGAATGGTCTTGAACACCTTAGGTCTTGAACACTTCATCACTCAGCTAGTCGGGAGGGCTATAGATGAGTCCTTTTAAGAAAGGACTTAAAGTGGTCAGATAGATGTTTTAGAAAGAGCTTTCCAGGGATCCCTGGGTGGCGCAGCGGTTTAGCACCTGCCTTTGGCCCAGGGCGCGATCCTGGAGACCCGGGATCGAATCCCACGTTGGGCTCCCGGTGCATGGAGCCTGCTTCTCCCTCTGCCTATGTCTCTGCCTCTCTCTCTCTCTCTCTCTCTCTATCAGAAATTAAAATTAAAATTAAAAAAAAAAAAAAAAGAAAGAGCTTTCCGCCCAGTGAGGAGAGAGGAGGGCTGGGTGAGGTGTGCAAGCAGGGCTTACGGGTCAGCACCTGTTGCAGCCAGCCGGGGCAGGTATCTATGTGTCCTCAGCTGAGTTCATTGACATAATGTGGATGTAGTTCGCTCCCTGGAAGGGAAATGACGTCTTCGAGTTTCGCAGGGTCCTTGCCAGCATGCAGGATGTCATTAACACAGTCCTCTCTCTGTCTCTCTTTAGGGCTACTCAGATCAAGACCTACTCCTGGGACAATGCACAGGTTATCCTGGTTGGGAACAAGTGTGACATGGAGGAAGAGAGAGTTGTTCCCACTGAGAAGGGGCGGCTCCTTGCAGAACAGCTTGGTATGGGCACAACATATGTGTGTGTGCATGTTTACATGGGAGTGGGACAATAAGGGGGTGCTGCGATTGTGGATGATGTGCATGTGTGCTCTGTGTACGTTGTTTTATATTTGTGCAATGTGCATATAAGCTTTTTGCTCTTTTAGGTTATGTTATTTATGATGTGTATATTTTGTTACATTGAATTAATAAGTACAATTTAAATTTATGAACTCTTCTTCACCAGTTCCTTCCACAAAGGTTTTGAGGTGTCCCATAAAAATCATCATAGTACATCAATAAAAAAATAAGAAAATTGGAGAAAAGGGAAAGCAGAAGGAGGAGGAACTTAAGAGGAAGCTAGGGGTGAGATAAATGTATATATTTTAAGTTCCCAGGTATGTGTGAGAACTGGGCCAAAATACTGGCTTTTGAGCTTCGTATCAGCCATGCAAAGAGAGAAACATAATCAATTACAGGGTCTCGAGAGAGTCCTTAACATAAAAACAAACCCATTGTTCAGAGAAGCACTTCTTTTCATTGGCAACTGTAGAGCAGACTCTATATGTTGGGTGTGACTATGTCCTTAATATCAAACCTCCTTACAGTGATCACAACATTGTGTCTTAGAATTTCTCTCAATGTAAACTGATGTTTCTTTACCAAAACACAATCACAACAAAAGTAATTGTATGAAGGGATTAAACAATGTGGTTTAAGTATGCAGCTCAGTGATGCTCTGACTTTTTCCAAAGTTAAAGCGCCTTTATCTTTGTGCTCCACCAAGACCCAGGCACTTCAGGTGTGTCTCAGTGGCCCCACAGCAGAACGCCTACCAATACTTGCTTCAAAGAGCAGCTTCTTCCTTCCCTTCCTTAGATTTTATTTATTTATTTGACAGAAAGAAAAAGAGAGCACAAGCAGGGGGAGGGGCAGAGGGAGAAGCAGGCTCCCCTATGAGCAGGGAGCCCGAAATGGGGCTTCATCCCAGGACCCCGGGTTCACGACCTGAGCCAAAGGCAGAGGCTTAACAGACTGAGCCACCCAGGTGTCCCGTTTTCTTGTCTTCTCTTGTCTTTTCTATATTGAGGTTCAATGTAGGATCACCTTGGAGAAAACTTCCCCTAGAAGAAAGGATATATTGCTTAACTTTTAGCCAATCTCTCTAAATATGTCTTACAACCTAGGTATTGTAAATATTGAGGAGTAGGGAGTTTAAAGGTATTCTCTGATGGTCTCTGAAGTATAGATATTTGGGCTTGTGGGCAGTAAACTGTATAACAGACAAATGTGAGTTGTGTGTGGTATATATTTGTATTATGTGTATTATGAGTACATGTGTAGGAGAGTATATTATACTCTTTCTTCCCTCCTCTATTCCCCAGGGTGGCCTGGAATAGAAATAAGCAAACTGTAGGTGTTTAATAAAGAGAGAGGTTGGATTATCTTGGACCTTACTATTCTTAGCCCACCACAGAAGTTCACAGGATCCAGAAAGTGTCACCAACCCGTCCCCCAGGTTCACAAAACAGTAGGCATGTGGCCAAGCATATATTTGGGTGACCTTTGGCTATCACTTTATGCTTTCAACCTGCTGTCCCCAGGGACACTCCCAGCACTTTCCCTGCAGTGGCTACACCCCATCTGTTTAGAGTGTTCTTTTCTACTCCCCACCCCCTACCCTCATCCAGCCAGTAAACTTCCACTCACTTTTCTAATTTTTTTTATGATAGTCACAGAGAGAGAGAGAGAGAGAGAGAGAGAGAGAGAGAGAGAGAGAGGCAGAGACACAGGCAGAGGGAGAAGCAGGCTCCATGCACCGGGAGCCCGACGTGGGACTCGATCCCGGGTCTCCAGGATCGCGCCCTGGGCCAAAGGCAGGCGCCAAACCGCTGCGCCACCCAGGGATCCCTCCACTCACTTTTCAAAACAGCTCAAGCTTCACATCTTCTATGAAGCCTCCCCTGGCTCTGAGAGCTCTTTTTCATGCCCCCACCTCACACACACAGCAGATACAGTACCTATCACACTTGGGTACACTTGTTTACTTGTCCACCTCCCTAAAGTTCCAGGGGGGCAGGAAATGAAGTCTAGTTTATTTTTGTGCCAACAGTGCCTACTTACATGGCCTGGCACCAAGTAGACACTGCAAAAATATGTTTTGATTAAATTTTATTATATTAAGTATTTGGCTACTTCATCTTATTTCAATCCAATTAAGACTTCCTGAGTGCCTACTCCATGCCAGGTACTGTGCTGTGAAATAGGATATACACCCCCATCTGAAGGACAGAAACAGTGATACCCCAAGTGATCAGTGTTGTGATAGAGGGATATGCTGGGGGTTGTGGGGGCGCAGAGGAGGCACCTAACTCGGTGGGGATCAGAGAACATAATGCCCAAGCTGAGTCTTGAAGACAAATAGGAGCAGCCAAGTGAGGGGGAGAAGCAAGGACATTTCAGGGGAATAACACTGGCAAAGGTGAGGAACAGCACTCTGTGTTCAGGGAACTATAAATCATTGACTGTATGAGTCAAGAGTAGCATTTTACAAAGAGAAAGACTTATGCCATTGGGAATGTGCAAGATGATTTTATGTACATGCTTTTATATGTATTATAAAAAAATACATATTCAGCATGTCAAGTCCTTAGACTTAAACAAGACTAAGTTTTAAAAGGTGAGTTAGTTTTCTGTTTGGAAAAAATATAATTGGCATGCCAAGCCCTTATGACTAAGATTTTTTTTTAAGTGAGTTGGTTAAATATTTATTACATATTTACATCGTGCCAGGCACTGTTCTAAGTGTTTTAAAATATTACTCATTTAATATAATCCCCCTAGAGCCCTCTGATATATGTGCTTCTCTTATCTCTATGGGTTGGGTTATTGTTTTGGTTTGTCTTTTTTTTTTTTTTAATGGATGAGAAAACAGACACATAGAAATTGAGTAACTTGCTAGTAACAGGTAGAGGCAAAATTTGAACCCAAGCAGTGGTCTGGCTCTATAGTCTGTGCTCCTAACTACTTAACCTCATTGTACAGTAAATATGATAATTAGTGATATATATTGATCCAGGCATTATATGAAATGCTGTGTTTTAACTGTTTCACTTAATTCTCACTGTAACCCTTCAAAGTTGGTATTATAATGTATATCCAATACTCTGAAAAATGAAGTGCAGAGGGGTTAAATAATGTGCTCAAGTTTATGTAGGTAAGAAGTAGTGGAGCCAGTTTAGATCTATCAGATTTTTGTAGGAACATAGATGAAGTCTGATTAATTCTTAGTGCAGGTTTTAGGGAGGTGCTTAAAGAGGGCCTTAATGAATAGATCAGATTTGGGCAGGTTTACTATGGTAAACTATGTCTGTCCTACACAATTTCCTCCATTATTTGCCAGTCTTTGCCTATTTAGACACCTGTCTCTCCTGCTAGATCTTGAGAGCAACCAGGTTATGCCTAATTTGTCCGTTATCCTAAGCACGCAGAATAGGGTAGACATTCATTCATACATCTATTCACTTACTCATTGAGCACTTACTCTGAGCTGGGTTCTGTGTTGGCACTTGGGATCTAATAGTGAACAAAACAGCTATGATACTTACTGTCATGGAACTCATGGAAAAGGGACAATAAACAAATAATTATACAAATAAATATATAATTTAAAATGTTGTAGACAAATTGAATGGTGTGTGAATTATATCTTGATAAACCTGTTAGAAACTGTGGTAAGTTCTACATGAATTAGAACTCTTGTTATGGCAAGTGATAAAATCCCAAATCAAACTAGCTTTAATTTTTTTATAATAGAATTTATTGGGGCACCTCGGTGAAGTATCTGCCTTCAGTTAAGTGTCTGCCTTCAGCTCAGGTCACAATCCTAGGGTCCTGTGATCAAGCCCCACATCAGGCTCCCTGCTCAGCAAGGAGTCTGTTTCTCCCTCTCCCTCTGCCTCTCCCCCAAGCTGTGCTCTCTCTCCTCTCTCTCTCTCTCTGACTTACTCTCTCAAAAAAAATAAATAAAATATTTTTAAATAAATAGAATCCATTGACTCACGTAGCTAGAAAGTCCACTAGACCCAGGATTCTCAACTTTGCTTATCCCTTCAGCCTCCTTCCTTCTCCAGTCAAACTCTGCATGAGGAGTATGATGGATGATGGCAATGCCAGATTCATATTTTCCCAACTCCTTCAAAAAAAGGCCTTCTGTCTCTCAACCACTAAATATCAATGTCAGGGAAGACTATGATTGGCCACCTGTGAGTCATGTGCCTGTCCCAGTGGCTGGGGGGAGGCGGGTATTATAACCAATAGTGCCACCACAACTCTTTAAAATAGTGATTCCCCAAAAGAAGGAATGGTGGGCAGATAAAAGTAACATAAGTTACAAGTGCTATGAAGAAAGTGAGAAAGAAAAATCTAATTTTAGACTGGAGAATCAAGATCTTCTGAGAAAGTAACACTGAAGCTGAGAACTACAAGATTAGAAAAAGTTAGCCAGGCCAAGAGTGAGTGTGAGTGTGTGTGTGGGTGTGTGTGGCGGGGAGGGGAGGCAGAGGGCCATATTCCAGATCAAGAATAGTTCTAATGTGGGGTAGAGCTTGAAGCACTCATGATATTGAAAGAAGGCCATGCCACAGGGGCTAGACAATCAAGGGGAGAGCGGTGTCAGGTGAGAGTGGAGAGGTAGGCAGGGATCGGGTCATGAAAGATCTTGTGGGCCATTTAAGAATTTTGCAAGGATGTGATCAGTGAACAGTGAGGATGCTCAGCCTTCCTTGTCCCCACATCAGTCCTACCCTGCTATGCCAGCAGTTAAGTTTCAGCGGTCTGCTTGCTACCACAGTAGTGCCCCTCTTCTGCTTCATGGGATTCCTCTTCAGGACTCCCTTTCCTTTAGCTTTTCTCAGCTCACTAGGCTAAGACTAGTGATATGGCCAGCAGCTAGCTTTTGTTAAAGCTATGAGTAGCAGCAGGCCATCAATATCCTCAAGGTTCTTGGGACATGGGTGAGA